CACCATTGAGATAACAACCTCATTTTGCTACCTGAAAGATTGTCACCTATTTGCAATTCACTTTCATCAATACAACCTTATTGTGAAGAATTAACAGCATATCACTTGACATTTGTGAAATTTATTCTACTAGCCTTCATTGACAGCTATATGTTTTCTGCAGCAGAGGCCTGAAGGACTTGGAATACTGCTAGACTTTCATTGAATAATTTTGTTGTAATTAGCATTTTGTACCTAGCACTTCGTATGGGTAATTGATATTGTCTTTGTTAACCACATGGTGTTATTGTAAAATATAATTTTAGTATCATATTTAAGTGGCGGTTGTTGGGATATACAGTACTTGGGGATATATAGTATCTTTGTGCTTTGTGAGTTTTTGTCTTTCTTTTTGAGCTATAACATGGGCAGCAGCGGAATACATTAGCATCAGAGTCCAGAAATCTTACCTTTTATCTCCCAGAATCCCCCAGCAGTTTGCCTGAGGATTATTGGAGTTGTAGCCCAACAACACAGAGTCAACATAGACTCAACATAGACTCCAACCATACATGGAGAGAAAAATCTCAGAAGTCCAAGTGGGGTTTAGGAAAGGAAGAGGCACCAGGGATCACACTGCAAATGGCTAATGGAGCGTAGCAGGGAATTCCAAAAGAAAATAAGCATGTGCTTTATAGACTATATTAAAGCCTTTGACTGCATAGACCATGAAAGGCTATGGAATGGCCTTAAGGACATGGGAGTGCCAACACATCTGATAGTCCTGATGAGGAATCTGTACTTGGGACAAGAAGCTATTGTCAGACCAGAAGACAGAGAAACAGAATGGTTCCCAATTGGCAAAGGAGTTAGACAAGGCTGCATCCTTTCACCCTATCTGTTCAACTTGTATGCAGAACATAGTATAAGAAAAGCAGGCATGGACACAGAAGAAGGAGGAGCGAAAATAGGAGGAAGAAATATCAACAATCCAAGACATGCAGATGACACCGTAACACTAGCAGAAAACCTCATAGACCTGAAACACCTACTACGGAAGATCAACAAAGAAAGTGCAAAGGCAGGCTTACTGTTGAACAGAAAGAAAACAAAAATAATGACCACAGAGAACTTACACACAATGAAGAAATAGAAATAGTAAAGAATTCCCAAACTGGGATCAAACATTGATAGAAATGGGGACTGCAGTCAGGAAATCAGAAGAAGACTAAGAATGGAGAGGGTGGCTATGAAAGAACTAGAAAAGATCCTAAAATGCAAAGCCATACAACACAGCACAAAAGTTAGAGTAATAGAAGCCATTGTATGCCCTATTCCAATGTATGGATGTGAGAGCTGGACAGTGAAGAAAGATGATAGGCAGAAAATCAACGCATTTGAGATAATGTGGTGCTGGAGAAGAGTGCTGAGGATCCCAGGGACAGCCAAAAGGACAAACAAATGGGTCCTAGAGCAGATCAAGCCAGAAACCTCCCTGGAAGCCAAGAGGACCAAACTGAGACTGTCGTACTTTGGACACATCATGAGAAGAGAGGACTCTGGAAAAGACAATAATGCTGGGGAAGGTGGAGGGAAGTAGGAAGGCCACATGCCAGATGGAGGGACTCTATCAAGGAGGTGATGGGTATTAAGGGGTTGCAGGCATTAAGCAAAGCAGGGGAGGATCCATAGGGTCTGGGAAGGTGTCTCATCCATAGGGCTGCCATGGATTGAGATCAACTCGAGGACAGTTAACAACAACAACAATAAGCCCAACAATGAACTTTCCTAGACTCTGGTTAATAATAATGTGGAATGATCTGAAAAGGGAAAAGCTCATAGTTATTTCTGAAACAGTGTATTGGTTTGAATGCTGAACTATGGAGACCAGGGTTTGAATCTCAACCCAGCCATGTAAACCCAGGCAAGTCACACTCTCTCAGTCTCAGAGGATGGCAATGGCAAAACAAAAACAAAAACCCCACAAAAAACCCCACAACAACTTGCTGATGAAACGTGCCCAGAAAACCCCATGGCCTTAGGGTCACCATAAGTCAGAAGGCACACACTAGAAACACTTTCTGAAACAACTGGATCTCATCACCACCACTTTTTGGCAACCAAGGCAAAAATGGTGGCCACTGTGAGAAACCGAAGCTGGAGTAGACACAGAGTGCGTCTGATTTTGTTCTTTCTTAGGCTTCACAATGACCTGAGTGTAAAGGATATATATACCTCAGTAAACAAAGCCTCTTATATTGCAGCTCCTTTTAAACAAACTCTTTCCTCATCCTCTGTCTAGCTGAATCTATTTTAGCAGCATTGTTATTGTAAGGAAGGCTGAAAGAACAGATTTCCAGGGTCAGGTTGCAGCAGTGTGTCAGCTGTAAACAACGAAACAAAACTTGAGCTGGGAAAGGAAGGGATTCTACTATAACTATTGTAGTTGTGTATGCTTACACACAACAGGCAAGGTAAACAGCACTGCCCCCCATCCCTTACTGAGTGTAAACATACTGTAAATAGTAAAACAGAGAGGAAAGGGGAAAGCAGATAGATTTGCTTCACCAGCTACTAGAGCATCTTCAAAATAATGCTTCCAAAATGGAAAGCATAAGAAAAGTGGAGGTGATGGTGGGGAAAATAATCTCTGGATGCATTTAAGAACAAAACTTTCAAGTTGAAGCTTTCAAGTTTATCAAATCCTCCCTGCTAGGGCTTTCAGTCAATGCCACTGTGTGTGTTGTGTGCCTTCAAGTACTTTCCAACTTACAGCAACCCTCTCCTGGGGTTTTCTTGGCACATTTCTTCAGAAGGGCTTTGCCACTGCCATCCTCTGAGGCTGAGAGAGTGTGAGTTTTGCCCAAGGTTCCCCAGTCGCTTTCCATGGCCAAGCCAGGATTCGAATCCTGGTCTCCCAGAGTCCTAGTCCAACGCACCAAGCACTATGCCACACTGGCTCTTTGGGTTGGCACACTGGGTGAAAACAAAGTAGGATGAATTTGGGTCAAATTTCCATTGTTTACATGCTTTTCAAATGCACCTGATTAAGGGTTTTGTTTTGTTTTTTGCGGGGGAGGCTAGACTTGGGCAAGTCACACTCTCTCTGCCTCAGAGGATGGCACTGGCAAACACCCTCCGAATGGCCTCCTATGGCCTTAGGGTCACCATAATTTAGGAACAACCTGCACACACACAAAGCTCTGAAGATTGCCATTTTGAAGCAGCTAGTCACACTCTCTCAGTCACTTAGGATGAACTGGCAAACTCTCTCCAAATGGCCTCCCCTGGCCTTAGGGTCACCATAAGTCAGGATCGACTTGCAGGCGCACAACAACAATAACAACAACAACAACAAAGCTCTGAAGATTGCCATTTTGAAGCAGCAAGTCACACACTCTCAGCCTCAGAGGATGAACTGCCAAACCCCTTCCAAATGGCCTCCTATGGCCTTAGGGTTTCCATAAGTGAGGAATGACTTGAAAGCACACAACAACAAAGCTCTATAGACTGCCATTTTGAAGTGCCTAGGCAAGTCACAGTCTCTCAGCCTCAGTGGATGGCAATGGCAAACCTCCCTC